TTTTTGAGAGCAATTGGCCATTAAAACGTTTGAACCACTTAGCAGATAATTGGAGAGGCGTGTTTTGGTTTTTGTTAATTTATTTTGCAGATAAGAGCCCTTCTGAAACGCTCTCTCCCCGGAGGTCTAATCTAAATTCTAATTGAGTTCATTTGCACCGAGATCTCGCCTTTTCACTCCGTCCTGGCAGGGCTGGAAATGCGCTTTAAAAAGCCGCTGGAATACACGTTTGGTTAGTTCAGGTTTGGTTTGAGCAGTTAGGAGCTCATTGTTAAAATAATCTCCCCCTCCAGAGCCGCTAATTTAATTCACACTCTTTAAATCTCGAGGTGTATTTTTATTTAATTTTTTTAGTTTAGATAATTCTTCACTGAGGGGCAGAAATCAAACCTGATGATCAGTTTACAAAGACACAATCGATTTTACGTTTTAAAACCTCCATCAGGACGATCAGAGTTTCTGGATGCAGGTTAGTTTCATACACAGTAAAGTAGCTGTTAAATGTTAAACTAGGGTGATAACATAGGCCTACACTTTATTTATTTTCTGCAGCCGGCCGAGGACTGTTCATTCCCCCCAAAATTTGAATCTTAAATTCAGTCGCATTTACTGAAAGAAACCTGCAAACAAAAATGTAAATAATATAAACATTAACTGATTAGCTGTTGGAGGCACGGGAATGGATGGGAGTTACAGTTGTGCTTTAAATCAAATTTCATTTTACAATTCGTCATCTAATCTGGTTAAAATCAAGAAGTGAGAAAATAATTAGACTTTTTAAAGTGACTTTTTTTTGTGAACTTTGGTTCTTTTCCTCTGCGCGTTAGAATAAAGAGAACTGGAGTTAAACGAGGATTTCTTTCAGAATAAAAGCGAGAGCAAAGTTATTTAACTGGAACTGACTCCTCAGAGCTTTCTATAAAAAAAAAGAGAGAATAATATAAATGAAGTTCAAGGCAAAATGGTTTATTTAGTGGATTTTATTCTATTGTGGACTGAGTTCACTTCAGCCGAGCTGAGGATCCACAGGAGTCTCGTTGTGGTCAGAATACACACAAAGTCTGACGACCCGAAACAAACAGAATGAGCGAGTTACAGAAAGACTTCAGACAACCACAGCTGTGATTTTTATAGATTATCAAACCACATCCATAATCCTGCCTTTTACGTGTGTGTGTGT